TAGATTTCAGTGTATGTAGTACATACAGGTTTTGCATGAATTTTGTGTTTTAGCTGAAGGTTGTTAACCAGTGGATCAGTTTGGTAGGAGAGGCGGTGAGTTTTCCATTACTTAGACATCCTAAAGTAAAATTAGGTGCCTTTCTGAAAAAGATGTTAGAATTCCACAATTTACTCACAAAATTTGCCAGAGACAGTTTTTTAATCTGTTTAAGAGGTCAGGCTACATGATGTGGATAGTCTCTTCTGGCCTTAAAAATCTATATACATATCTAAACCTGTTCAAACCCCAACTACAGCAAATAGGAAAAGCTGATTTTCAAGACCCAAAAAAAGCCTTTCCCTGAGGCAGACAGAAGCATGTGTGGATGAGTTTGGGCACTTGGGGAGCGAGAGGGCCGCCCAACATGTAACCTGTTAGGGAATGTGTGAAAGGTAATGATGTGCTGCTTAAATTCGGGTAGCTTGGGGACCTATGACCACGTGGTTCAAAGACCAAGAATTCCTGTTCAGCTGAGTGTGAGACACAATTTAAAAGTGAAAATATCCTTGCTCGGTGAGCACTGTCACAAGAAGAACAAGGTGCATCTTTGCTGACTTTTCTAGGCGTAGTACTTGTAATACCCTTACAGAAATAAACCACAGTCTGCCACAAGTGGCTCTGCTTCATTATAGGCTGATGGGCAGCTGACTCAGAGACGTACGCATGCGAGTGACTCTTACAAATAAGGCCAGCAAACCGCAAATGGGAACTACAAATGAAAGGGCCAGTACAGACAGCATGCAGGCATTGTAATTACTTCGCCTACCTGAGTAAGACAATTCATATGTGTAAACTCACAGGATTAAAGCCAGAAGGCTTAGTCCACAGATATTTACCACTTACACATACACTGTGAACTTCTCTTCTGTGCTGAGAGCCAGAATGAGATTTGTGCAGCACTTCTGCCTGATGAATGCAACCGTACCCTTGTAGGCACAGTTCACACAGTAGGGGGTTCAGTTTCACGCGTGTTGTTGACTGTATAATGCTACACTGGCGGAGTCTGTAAGCCAGTCAGAGAGATGGTCATATTTAAACTATGTCTTACTCTCTGGTATGTAGCATCATGCCATGACTGGTGGGTTTGGTGAAACAGATGGGAGACAGTTGACCAAAACCAGTGTCTGACATAAGATATTTCCTATGAAGTTAACACTGAAACAATTTCTTAAATTGTACGTGCGCTTACCTTAAATTTTTGTGTCTTGTCCTTTGTGTTTTCCTTCCCAATGTATAGAGGGACATCGCTGCAACTGTTTGCAAAAATGGCCTGTCTGTTGTTTTTCTGCACTCTTCATGAATGTCTGTCTTTGATTGTCACATGGCGTGTCTGATGTTAAAATTCTTCCTTGCAGATGTCGATGAATGTGCGAACGGCACAATATGTGGCAGTCACGGGTTCTGTGAAAATATGGATGGCTCCTACCGCTGCCTCTGTTACCAAGGGTATCAGGACCCACAGGATGGGCAAGGGTGTACAGGTGAGTTCTTAGGTGGAAGTAGACATTCCTGCAAGGTTCTAATGAGCAAAAAGCAGCGTATGAGCAAAATGCATTTCTTCACAAGAACATTTTTGGGTTTCATCATTTTTTGTTAAAGTTGTATCACTTGCTAGTAAAATGAGGTTGAGCTGTGCTTTACCCGCTGAACTTTGTGCCAGATGGCAACTTAACTGTGTAACCATTTCATGAGAAGCTGTTATTATGATTTAATGGAAACCAACAGAAAATAAGCTGAGCCGCTCATTTTATCTCTTTAAAAAAAAAAAAACCAAGAAACCCCACTATTTCTGCACGTCAGGGCCATTCACAAATATAAATCATAATAGCTTGAATTTAATACTTCAGCTTATTTAAATGCAATATCTGTTTAGTCTCTTAGCTGAATAACCAGAACTCTGTACTACCCCCTGCAGGAAATAACGTCTGGCATGTGGTACAGCCAGGCTGAATTAGATGGCACACCTCCCTAGGCACATCGTATTTGAACAGATTTTAACATTGGCTTCAAGCCCCAGGAAAGACACCTATCACCATGAAAAGATGTGAGATTTTTGTAGATGTGTAAATAGTGCACGTTTCTCTTGTGAGTAACAGGTTTCCAGATCTGTTGTTAATAGTGATGGTTGGACCTGAGATCCCTGTGAGGCAGCACAAGTTTCTAATACAAAATTAATATCAGATCAAGGAAAGGTATTCATTAAGCAATTTCTTCAAGCCAGACTCAGGATGAAACTCATTTACCAGGAACAGAGACCTAAACAGAATACCGAACACAGAGGAGGAGTTAGAAGTTTTACAGAAGTGTTTGTATGTGTTTTCTAATATATTAAATAGTTTTATTACAAAATTCTTTATGCCTTTTGGCACTTATTTTGCAACATACCAATGTATATTTTTGCATACAGTGACTTTTCACAGATGAAAACAAATGAAGCAAAGAAAGAAAGGGAAGAAAAAAAAAAAGGAAAGCAAAAGCTGGTGTGAAACTAAATTTAATTTAGAGCTGCCAGTGAAGTGATTCTGCACCACAACATAGTGTCTTAGTTTTTTTTCTTGTGTACACTATATGATATAAAATACTCTTATAAATTTTGATGCCAGTAATCTACCGAAACAATTTTAGGAAAAGGTAAGTCTCCTTAGTTCCTGGCCGGGCAACGTTCCCCAAAGCAGACTTATTCCTTATGACAGGAATCCAGCAAAAAGATAAAGAAAAATCGAAGTACTTTCTAAAAGTGCTGACCAAACCGTAAGTTAAAATGCATATTTATCTAAAAATACACAAAAATCATCATTCAGTCATATGACTAGCTTTTCATTCTTGCTGGATAAGAGGTAATAAGGATAAAAGATTGCCTCACAAGTTATACTTTAGACCACACTCAAGTGTAGAAATTTTTGAATTGTGATACACAAATTTTCAGATTCTGTCATTAGTACACAAAGTAGATTTTCAAACATAAACTTTAGCAACTGAAAAGAGAGTAAAGTTAGTATTTGGTAGCCCTCATTTAAGCAGTAGACAACTGTCCGATCAATCAGAAGAGCATTTGAGGGTAGACTAGTTAGCAGGTATATGGAATCCAAGTTAAAAATATGTGGGGTTTTTTGGGGAGAGGAAATTTACTGTGTTCAGCAGGGGCTCCCTGGGTGACCTGAGCATAACCCTTGTGGGTTCCAGAGCAGCCCGTGAGGCCGTGCATACGAGAGGCACGTGATGGGGCTGGGGAATTCAGTGTTCAGTGGATGTTCACAAGGAAAATGGGATTTTGAGAAAAGGGAATTCTCTTTTCATAGTGCAGTCTGAATCGCACCAAAACCTACTCATTTTGCTCCTTGAATTCAGTGAAAGTTTGATAATAAAGAAAGTTAAGAAAACAAATGAAATTACTCTGAATCTTATATCCCAAGAAAAGGGTACAAAGAAAAGCAAGCATTTAAAAATGAGAAAGAAACCCAAAAAAACCTGAAAAAAATGAAAGCCAATGTTCTGGTCTACAAGCAGCACCTAATCAGCAGCAAGAGTCTATAAACTGTACTGTGGCTTTCAGGAGCCTTGATTTCAAAGGACTGACTACTTGTTTATGAATCAACTTAGGTATTCGTGAGTTTTTAATCCTTCCCCAGAGATCACATCTGTAATCTGGCAGACAATATTGGCACAGATACAGCAGATAAAAGAACAAACTGTCAGTAATGGGTCTGAATTGATTAATGTTTGGGATTTTTTTCCCCAGATGTGAATGAATGTGAAATGCTGAGTGGAGTATGTGGCGAAGCCCTCTGTGAAAATGTCGATGGTTCTTTCCTGTGCCTGTGCTCTGATGAAAACCAGGAGTATGATCCGATGACCGGACAGTGTCGCTTCCGTACCTCACCAGGTAAAACACCAGTGGATTTTTGCATACTTGGCATGATTTCCACTGCATATGTAACCAACAGAAAGGTAAAGTTGGTTTAAATGCTGGTGTTGCTTTAACTACAACAGAAAACTCTGTCTTCTTGAAAGTGTGTGCATGAGAAGAGGTGTTTCTAAGATGGAATATGTTATCAGTGAATCATTAGCAGTGAAAATATAGCAGAAACACCTTCTAAATTTTATACGTCAACAGACTTGGCAGTAATAATGAACAGTTACAGCAGTTAAGAGTAAACAATCTCTTGTTTGCTGTAATGTAACAGTGAAATGTGATATGGAATCAAGTCTGTGGCCTGAGTGATTTTATTTTTTGTTCAAATTTTTACAGCCATCTACCAGTATGCTTGGACAATGTTTAAGGGAGCATATGATTAAAACCAAAAATTGTATATAGTGGTATCCTCTTAGCATTATCTAGTACTAACATAAGTCCTCAGAAAAGGTAGTTGGGAAAGCAAAAAAACAAAACACTGAATTGTTGTCAGTCTCTTTAGGTGTCTTTTTGTGTGCCCTTGCCTGTTTTACTCCATCTTTTGTCCTGTTTTTCCCGGTAATCCATTGTACTGAATTTGTGAGCTTTTGTTATCAGGTGTTTTGGCTGTTGCAAATACTACTGGAAATATACTCATTAAAAATTAGTTTAGAACTCTTAAAGTTGCCTCCGCATTTCCATGCTGATCCAGTTTGGAGAAAGGAACAAGCCCACAATAAGGTGCAACAGAGTACAAAAAATGAAGGGATTTGCTTGCACAGCTTCTTTTTCCCCTCCAGAACGCAAATCTTGGTATTTTTCTTATTTTGTTCTTACACTGCAGGCTGATCTAGCTTCCAGAAAGCTTTAGAATAACTGGCTGTAGTGCCAGGATACAGACTCTACAGCTTACAAGTCTCTGGCTGTTCTCTCCTACCACTCGTGGTCTTTCAGACTTGTAAACAAGGTTAAAATATCTGCAACCTAATTGCAACACGTATTTAGATCACTGAAAGTAGCACTTCAGCAGCACTCAAGAAGTTGCCTGTGAAATATCATTAACAGCTGATTGATAAACTGAAACCTTTGCAAAATCTTATGAGAAAGATTCAGGCTTTATGAAGGAGGAATGAAAAAAAGTAAGATGGCTGAGGCAGCAGAGCAACGCCCAGTGGTACTGCCTCCATTCCTCTTTGCAAGGAAAAATATTGCAGTACCTTTCCACCATGAAGCAGATTAGCTTGAATACCCACTGATGATAACTGAAGTAAGCAGCATTTAAAATTCTTCCATGAATTTATGGAAGAAGAGTGTTTAAATTATATTATCAAGATTTGCAGGAGATGTGAATGACATCTTTGTTTTGGTGCTGTGAGGAGGTAGTACTTGGGAGGACTCAGCTACTTGTCGAAACAAAACCAGAGCTAAAGAAACTAGCAGATGACCTGAGCCCATGTAAAAAGAAGTCAACTCCAAGGAGCATTCAAGGACATACCCAAATGATACTGTGGGGATGGAGGGGATGAAAAACCCAGCATGGCCAATTGTACTGTCAACAGATGAATAGTCAACAAAATGCAGTTAGTACTGACAGTAGTCACTGGAGAACATAGCTTTACTGTGATCCGTTTGGAAAAAAGCCGTTCTTCCTTCCCCTCCAGCCTTCATCAGCCCCTAACAAAACATGTGGTTCAGCTTTGTCTCTTCCCTGATAAGGTCATCAAGGAGGAAGATCTCACATAGGAGACCAGAAGACAGGCAAATTAGAACCCAGTGAGACGTACTTTACACCATATGCTCTTGAACTAAAATAAGGAAAAGAGGCAATACTGGGAACAGAGATCTTGCTATTTCTTCTCTTACTTTTCTTCCAAAGTAAAAAAGAGGAAAGTACTGTTGTTAGTTCTTCTTTAAAAGGATTCTTGCTTTCCTGTACATCCTGCAGCCTTGCTGGTGGGGTTTTTTTTATCAGTTGGCTTCTGTTTCTCAAGACCTCAAGACTGACCAGTCAAGTGGTGACACTGCCCCATGTACCTCTGGATTTGACATTTCAGGAGCTGACAATACACACTTTGTTCTCCTACATCTGCTCACTTTGCTTGTTCCTATTTTGTTCTGGGAACCAATGGGTGGCCCTCGTGCAGCTGTCAACTGAAGAGGGACTTTCCAGTCTTTCCCTCCCCGTTTGTAAGTGGCATGTGCTCACTGCAGGATGACCAAATAACAGTTATGTTGGTTTGCCCAACGATGAGTACTTCAGCCTCCCCTGAGACCAGCTGCAGCATGATCGTATAAGAATAGTATGCTATCTCCTGCAAAGAATGATGGAATAGACACACATCCTCTGGCTTTGACAATCCATATGCTCAAGTCAGGTGTGGAGAGCTTTGAGAGCTCCTACAGTGCATGTGGACATCATCTGTCTGCATTAGCTTGCATCATGCCTATTTCCAGCAAGGAAGAATTTAATCTGCATTACCCTGTTGCAGATGTCTGTAGTTCAGTGTGGTTTACTCAGCTTTTGGTTATTTCTCATTTTGTATTTTTGTGCATAAAGAAATGTTCATCCGCCTCGTATCAAGTGGAAACAGGTGAACATTGTTCAAATGTTACTTTAATTTGGGAACTTTTTTGCATGTGGTTAAAGGCTGTTACCTTTGTGGAATGGGGTGTGTTTATACTTTTCTTTACTTGCCATTAGGGCTCTTGAGACTTCCTTCTATTTAGATTTCACTTGCTGGAAATTCATCTATTGTTAGCTGTGTCCTGAAACAATCCTCTCAACATTATTCTCAAACTAAATCCAAAACACAGCACTACGCCAGCTACTAGGAAGAAAATTAACTCTATCCCAGCTGAAACCAGGACAAGGTATCAGGAATTCTAGCCCATACTGTCACATTCCAGCAAGAAACTGAAAAAAAGTAATTGTGCAAGGTTTGATTGTCCTATTCCCCTCCTCTCTGCCCTGCCATTCACAAAATGTAGCAAATGCTTCAGAAGGAAGAAAGAAAAGATGAAGGAGGAAAGAACTCTCTTTTGTATTAGATGAAACTTCGCTGTTTTACACCTTTGTACCTAAGAGAGGAAAAAAAAAATGCCTGGTTTGGGTTAAAGTGTTCTCAGTTATTCTTTTAACAAGATATATAAAGCCATTTATAATTAATTTCTAGCAAGTACCAAGCTGAATGCAGTTTCAGTAATAATCCGTATTAACATGGTTTTGATTGTTTCTACATAAGAAAAAATGCATATCCTAGTATGCATCTAAATTACTAATATATACTAATATATTACTAATATATCTCATTGCATTGAATCCAGAAGCTATAAAGGATAGTATGTATATAAGGATTGTAATAGGTATGATTTAAAAGGAAAACTGCAAATAAAAGTACATGTATAAACACAAGCATAAAACTGGCTTACATATACAAAGGTCAATAAGATCACAAGTTTGGGTTACAGCTCAGCCAATAAAAAGAATTCCAGTGAGAGAACTCCACTAAGGTACCAGGGCCCACTTAGGGACCTGCAGCTCATTTAAGCTTTGCTTTCTCCTGGTTACATGAAATGTGATCAGTTATTTATGGCAAGATATGTAACAGTATTTACTAGGATTTATAAGTAAAAATCACAGTTTTGGTGTCCAAACATGAGTCCTTCCTAGACTGATTTGTATTAAAACAAAATCAATCCCCCCTGCATATAACCAACCCCCCGCACAAAAAATTTGAGGCTGCCAAGTAACATTTTATAAATCTGATCCAAAAGCTTCCTCAAGGCTATAAATTTGGTGCCTGAGTACAAATTCTAGATTTCCTAAACTTTAAGGGCTTTCTAAATGTTAAGACTTTAAAGGGAACTCTTCATATTTGTATTTTTTTTTTATGGCAATATGTGCATGGTTCTCTAAGGTAAATAACGATCTGAATTTCAGTCATCTATGAACATAGTCTTAGATAACATTTTTAAATGTGCATCACTTGCACTAATCCCTGAATTGTACATATGCGCATATATGCGTACACACTGCACACATATACATTAGGCGTTGTAGCTTGCCACACGTGGAGCCAGCTGAGACATCTAAACAAGTACACCCTGACGACACGCACATACCGATCTATTTTTACTGTCTTTTTGAAAATCAGGTTCTGAAAGTGTGTGTTACTCAAGCCGTTTGCTCAGAGCCACCAGTCTTTGCTGAGGTTTTAGAAGTCATGAACTTGTAATGATGATTTTTCACTTTAGCAACCACTTTATTGATTCTACCTGTGAATAAGAGGCATCGGTACCCAGTTGTGGTATTTAAGATCCTATCAGTTCTATATGTTTTGTTTTTTTCAGATCACGGTTGTTAACAGGCCAGTATTTAGGCAAATATTAGCAAGTATATGCTAATATCCTGATTATCCACTGAATCCTATATTACTAATGCACATTTTTGCATCAAACACATACTAAAGCATATTGTTGGATCAAGGTTATGCAAAGGTAAATCTGTTTCTAATAAATACTTCAGAGTTCAATCTAGCAGCAACTATACAGAATCTCTCTATAGGCTGTTAATAGAACGGTCATAGGAACGACCTGATGTTACTTTACCAGCATGCCTTAGGTAGAGAGATATTTACGTTTTCTAACAACAAAAAACCTGAAACAATGATGATAGAAAAAAAAAGTATCCATTTCCTGTCATATTTTGTCAAAATACCTAGTGAAACCACTTTCAATAACAACCTGTTTACTAAATGGTTAATAATGTATGAGAGAGAAATTATAAGCTTGTAGACACAGACTGGTCTTGGTTTAAAAAAAAAAAAAAAAAAAAAAAAGATTTGTGTCTCATTTGCTTTCCAAACACTCATGACGCCTGCTTGACTAACCCTCAGTCACAGCTGTGTAAACAACAGACTTTTAAGCTGCTGAACAGATAATGGGAGGAGAAACCAACACATCATATGTAAAATGGGAATAAACAATGGCATGATGAGATTGTCTCCCCTTCCTCCTGGGGCAGCTTCTGGTGTTCTTTCTCTGGTAAACAGTGTGAAAACTGCCATGCTTTTTCTCCTGTTGAAGATTTGGCTTTGATTCAGTTAGGCAGCTGGCAAACGGCCAAGGAAAATGTATAATTTGTGGCTAAAGTACTGCTCTCTCACCTAGGAATAACAGATTTAGTTCAGTTGCATTTCTGTGACACATGATAGTCTTAACATAGTTCCTATTGGATAGCAGCTGATACCGCAAAACCACCACACTTTATGAAATTCAGCACATTATGGAAAATTGTAATTATCTGATGAGGGGAGACCACAGGCTAAACTAACAAAGATGAAATAAGCACTCAGCTGGGTGTTTCCTTTAATGTACAATTTAGTTATATTGGCAAAACAGCAAAGGAAAGTTTGCCTTGTAGGTGGCAACATTGTACTAAATTCGAATAGAGGTGTCTGCCAGCCCCTCAGCCTCCCACAACAGAAACAGTCACTTTTCTGAGGAAAATAGAAATAAATCCAATTGTCTGTTTGGAATTAGAAGCCAAAAGAACTATTACACACGTTCATGCTATTGAAGTGCAATAACAGGCAATCCATACTACCATTTTTAAACCTGCTTTTCTCAAAACTAATCTACTATTTGCACATTCAGTAAAACTGCCTTGCCCCATCTGCCTGGGGGAACGTGGGTGGGCAGGAATAACGGGCTTGAGGTAACAAGAGCTGGAGTTCATGTAATTCCTTCACCATTTGTTGGACAATCACTATCTTCAGGCTCCCACCTCACAGCCATTATTTTTTAAGTGGATGGGATTAGAAGAAAATCCATCCTATAACTGGCGTCAAGAGGCTGAGCTTGACCTCCAAGAGACAACCACAGGTGGACAGATGAGCTGGCCAAGTGAACTTGGCTCTCCCAGGTATACCAATACTTGTAAGCAGGCCAGCCTTAAACTCTTTCTTGAAAAGAGCTGCAAGGCAAACAAAGGTAGTTTATATGCCGCAACTCTTTGAGTCTTACTACTTTACTAGCATTTTGAAGTGCGCTGTCGCTCGAGCATAAAATAAGGTCTTGATTCCCACCTGGATACATGCGTTCCTTGAGAAATGTCTCGTGCTTGGCATATTGTGCAAGAGCCTGGGTAGAAATGAATGAAAACTCAAACAATGGCAAATCAGCCAACATGCAATAATTTTTTAGTAGGTTTTTGTGAACTAAACATTTGTTAAGTGTGAAGCAGAAAGAATTTCCCAACATAAAAGGAAATAAACTAGTTGCCTCAAGATTATCTGTCTTAAGTTCCTGAACAAAGTTTTTGTTTTGATTAATAAATCTGATAGTTTCTTAATTTTAGAACTCGGTTATATTATGGATGGCCTATGAAAAGTTTTTCATATTGATCAAGTGTGAATAACAATTTTATGTGACAGTTCCCAATTCTGAGCTCTTGATGAGCATTTTTGTGGAAGTGCGAGGTTAGGTAGAGTTCTGCAAACACAGAAGCTTTAACTAGGTATTTCTTTTCAACCTCCTTTCTTGGTGTACTTTAGCAATGCCTTGCTTTAGAAAGGTCTTTGACTATTAATTGGGGGGGGGGGGGGGGTTGGGTGATAGGGGGGGG